TTCCTAACACTTTCTCAAATGCAAAAATAACCTATATAAGAATTGTATATCTTGATGAGTTATACAAACTTGGTAATCATGACTTTTCTAGTTGAGACCATCTAGGGTTTCGAAAACTGGTTTGGAGCAGTTAAATTTTAAAAATCCAAAATTTGAATCGTTCAAACTTTATCAAATAAAAAGTTGACCAAAACAACAAATGTAGATCTTGATGAGATTAACAAACTTGGTATTCATGACTTTTCTATTTGAAATCATTTAGAGTTTCAAAAACTGGTGTCAAAGTGTCATTTTTTTTAAATTTAAAATTTGACTTGGTCAAACTTTGTCAAACGAGACACTAAATGACCTCAGATGAAAAACTTTTGAATACAAAGGTGTTATAACTCATCAATATCTACAATTGTTATATAGGTCATTTTTCCATTTGAGAAAGTGTTAGTAAACACTAGTCACAAAATCATGAATCTCACGTAGAGTTTAGAAGCTATACGAGAGACTTGTCAATTTAGAACTAAACTTTCCTAACACTTTCTCAAATGCAAAAATGACCCATATAACAATTGTAGATCTTGATGAGTTGTACAAACTTGGTATTCATGACTTTTCTAGTTGAGACCATCTAGGGTTTCGAAAACATGTTTGGAGCAGTCAAAATTTAAAAATCCAAAATTTGAATGGTTCAAACTTTGTCAAATGAAAAGTTGACCAAAACAACAAATGTAGATCTTGATGAGCTTAACAAACTTGGTATTCATGACTTTTCTATTTGAAACCATTTAGAGTTTCAAAAACTGGTGTCAAAGTGTCATTTTTTTTAAATTTAAAATTTGACTTGGTCAAACTTTGTCAAATGAGACACTAAATTACCTAAGATGAAAAACTTTTGAATACAAAGGTGTTAGAACTCATCAAGATCTACAATTGTTATATAGGTCATTTTTCCATTTGAGAAAGTGTTAGTAAACAGTAGAGTTTCAAAGTGTCATTTGTGAACAATTGTTATATTGTTGACATATTTTTTATTTGAAATTTGTTATTATCCTATAATTTTTGTATTTACAACTTTTTAATTTGTATTCATTTGGTACTCAATATATTTATATAACATATCTGCTTTGAAAATAGAAAAATAAAAAAACAAATGAATATTGGGCCACGTAGGGCTCCAGAATAAGCATTACATTTTGCCCAAACCCAACCCTCCCACGTGCTTGGCCATTAGATCAAAACGGACGGCCAAGATACATCAGGTCCCAAATAAAAACACTCTAGAAACCCTACCCATCCCTCCCCGTATCCACTCCCTGCATCACGGCACCCTACTCCTGCGCCTCCACTTCCTCCGACTGTCCCCAATCAGCAAACCCTACCACACCTCGATCCCACATCCCACTAGCGCCGACACCTGCATCTCATGGCTGCTGCAGAGCTACGCCCCACACCCCCAGTCCTCAAAGATAACCCCTCTCCTGTGAGCAGCCAAGGGCGGCATGGAGGAGGGCGCCCGGCCTCGATCTGGCCATCGGCTGCGTGGAGGAGGACGTTTGGCCTCGATCCGGTTATGGGTGGCGCGGAGGAGCATGTGCATGAGGTCCTGGGGAAGCCTCCCCACCGAGTAGCCCGGCCCCAACACCTGCTCCTCTTTCTCATCCTCACTGTGCAGGAGCAACGAGATCCATGGCGCGTGCGTCCTGGGAGCAGGAAGCAACAGCGATGGCTGGTTTGCAGCAGCACCCCAGCGACCACCGACGTCCGCGCTCGCCCACGTCCTGCCTCAATCGGGTGGGGCGGACCCTGCATCTTCTTCTGCGCTCCACCCCTCCGAGAGAGACGACGGCGTGCGGGCGTATCTTTCCTCGGCCGCTCGAGCGGCGGAGTTCGGCGCAACTTCTCGGCGGCTCCGCCCGCGCCTTGCGGCGGTGATTTACCTTACACCACAGCGGCGGTGGCGGCTCTCTGCCGATCTCTGTTCCTCTCATTTCAGAGATCTCGGCGTGGGGCCTTCCACGCTTCAGTGCGTGCAAATTGTCTGCAACCCTTTTCATTAATGTGCCGTGTCAATACCAATTCTATACTGAGTTAGTAAAGCTCATTTGAAAAAGATCCTGTACTTGGCTCCTCCTGTAAATTAGAGTGATTCTGCATTTAATTTCTTCAACATTCAAAGGACGACGTCGGCGGCGATTTACGATAACCATTGTTCATAAGATTCATACACGGAGATTCCTAGGATGATGCCTTCCACCGACAGATTCATACACAGAGATTCCTGGGTACTTCCCTAATAGGTCATTTCCACATCACGGGGATATGCATCCTTAATCGAACACCATAATCTCATTGTTTCCCCTGCTCGGCTGAACCAAATCGCAAACACCGGATGTGTCCATCCATTCTTCTCGATCAAGTACCCCCATTGCACAGCTTTGATTTAAAAAAGACATCGCCACAATTAATTAGTCCCTCACACAATGCTTGCTATATTTCAGGTTAATCTAAGGCATGCATAGGCTACATGGTCTGTCCAGATAATTGTTCCATAATCCACAGCGACAGCGTGACTCCTCTTACAAGGTTATTTTGTTGACTCATGATTCGTTCATAATATCTTCCGCACCATTTATCAAAACAAGCCTCCATGTCTTGCCTTCTACAAATTCCCCTTTGCATTTTTAAACAGCTTTTGCATAAGTACACAACAGCCAATTGCTCTAGGTGAAATGTGGAGATATGTGTGAGGGAACGTACTTCTCACGTACACTGATGTTGACCAAAAATAAAGGTCTCTACAGATCCCGCTTTTGTATCATGCCTGTTACATAAGAAAAAATTTTCATTTGTTGCCGCTGTTGTATTATGCCTGCTAACTAAACACTTTGCATTTCCATGCTTGCCCACTATGTATTACGCCGCTGCATCTTTTAGTGGTTTATAACAGATTCATTGTCACCCTATTACGTTTGTGAATTATCCTAACCACCCTACTAAATGGCTCACTGCTTATATGTTACTAAATGGCTCAGTGCTTATATGATAACACTTCACTATGACAAAGCCTATTTTTGCTGCAATAGGTACACTAACTACTAAATGTTGATATAATGTTACATGCTACATACTTCAAAATCTTCCTTATATTGTCCTTCGATTTGCAAATATATGTATCCATCGATTTTTCGTCAACTAAACTACATACTTCAAAATCTTCCTGCACAGTTCCAGCTCTTCAATGATGTCTTCTTCGTCAACCTACTCATCAGTTTGATGGAACATATCGCTCGACAGGTGCACAACTTCGCCAAACATTGAAAGTTCTTTCACCCATGCTGAAATGAGTATCCATGTCCAACTGAGACAGCCCTGTACTATGCTAACATTATCCTACGACGGGCTCAAATGATGACCCATATATGTAACTAATGTTACTGATCTTTTTGTTTCATGTGTATAATATGATGTGCTATAATTCCGCCTTGCTGGCCCGTGCGAAGCACGGGGGTACCTGCTAGTTTCTTTCATATTTAGTGAAGTAATTTTTCTAACCAATATAGGGAAACCATTTAGGTGTACTTTGCAAGGAACAATAGAAAGAAAGAAATGATTCTAGAATGAATCAAGCAAGTGGTGTCACCGTGACTTTCTATCTTTGCATTATTTAGTTGGGTGTAACTTTGTAGCTTCAAAGATTTCCCTACTGAGTACTTCTATTATGTCAATCACAATTGCCTACTGCTGTCCATTGTCCCTGTACTTGCATCTATCTTCCTGTTTTAATATAAATTGTGTGGTTTTAACGGTTACTTTATGGATCTAGTTATTTCCTCAAATTTCATTACATCTGTTATTTTACATTTTCCTTCATTTGTCTTGCTGCTTTACTACAAATTTGTGTGGTAATAGATGTGTATATTGATTCAGGTCTATTCCCAAATTCTATTACAGCTGGAATTAGCTCGTAAGTCACCAAGTCTGCTAAATTTGTGTGGTAACAGATGTCTAGTGTCATGTTGAATATTGTTGGTTTTTTTCTGCTTGTAGTGACAGGCTCTGCTTGTTATGTAGAAATGCAAATAAATTGATTGATAATACCATTGAAGGATATGCTGCTTTGGCCATGATAATTTGCCTCTTGCTCGAATGATGCAAAGAATTGTTTCTTTACAATATAATAGTATTGTGTGTTTCTGCAACTTATTGCTTAGCCAAACAAGATAAAAAGTCGTATGACATACCTGCATGTTTTGATCTGTCCTGTGATTTATTTAGTGAAATTTGCTAACCAATATTCACTTATTTTTTTTTATCTAGATCATTCAAACACAATTGAATATGCCAACAATTGGAAAGTGTGATTCTTTTAGTTAGCATTTGCATAGTACATTTTTCCTCTTCATTGTTTCTTTTCAGATAACAGATAGGGTCATGGGCGTTGTTTGCTGGGCTGTTGGCTGGAACTTGGCGCTAGCTGTTGGCTACTGGCTGGAACTTGTTTGGTGCAAGAACTTGGCTCTAGGTGCTAGCTGGAACTTGACGCTAGCTGCTAGAATTTGTTTAGTTGGCTGGGTCATTTTGTGTTCATGTTTTTGTTGTAATTTTGTATGGAAACATGTATTCTGGAACATGCGCCTTTGTATGGTCGTTATGATATTATGAAATTGGTTATATGGTTTATTATTGTTTCAATTGGGTCAGCCCATAATATGGGCCTGGGCTAGAAATGCTGGGCTCACAATATTTGACGTTACCCTATTGTCGTAATAACCTGTCCTCCCACGTACCATTTGTGACGGTTCGTACATTATGTGATGCGTTGACTAAACAATATGTGACAGTTATAATCGTCATAAAAGGTAACAATAGGTGACGATAGAACGTTACCGTCACAAAAGGTCTCGACATTTTGTGACGGTGGCCCATAAAATCGTCACGAGGTACATTATGTGACGGTCGTTATATGACGACCGCCGTGACGCTGTTTTTTCGTCATAAAGTACTTTTTATGACAATTTCTGTACTTTCCATGACAGTTCCGGTTTGTCATACAAGCCCCGATTTTTTGTAGTGTATAGACCAATCGTCGGCAAATAGTCATCCTCGCAGCTGCCAATGATGGTATCCTCCGGCGTGAGTAGAATCTCTGGGCCGCCGCCGCCATTGGAGTCCACTGCAAACACCTTGCAAGAGCCTGTCCCAAACATGATCTTCAGAGCACCATCAGCAGAGTAATATACACCTACTGGGGCAATCCAGAGTGACTTGAGAAGCATGCGCTCGGATTCCGGCCAAGCCGTCCGATCAATACAGCAAAGCTTCTCCCACTGGGCTTCCTTGTTGTAATAAATACATAGAACCAAAGGATCATCACTGTCCGGCTCCCCATAGCACACACACACAAACGCCCGTCCAGCTCCGTCAGCACGGCCGTGGCCACATTGCCGAAATCTGGGGGTGGCAGCAGCGAACCAAAGGTCTCGTCGCCGATGCTGAAAGTGACGATGCCACCATCAAGGCATAGGAAGTGCAGATAGCCGTCTAAGAAGACAGCTGGGTTCCACTGCATCACGGAGCACAAGGGAGATCTCTCAGCACTAGGCCTCTAGTAACCAGTTCCGTCTGTGCCGAGGACGAAGACCTCGCATGTCGTGGGCGTAAAACCACCGCCTCCATCTCCAGGTTGGAGAACAAGCGCACGACTTTGTACTCCTTCCTCGTCGTGCAGCAACCAAGGCCGTAGGAGACCCAAAGATAACAGGGTGGCTCCACTGGTCTTCCTGAAGTTTTGTATGCCATCTTAAAAGGCACCTGGCTGTCTGGCAGAGCCAGAGCCTTGCCGGAGCAAGGGTTGACGACGTAGTACCCACCACAGTCGGCGGCTCAGATTAGAACGAGGCCACGGCAGGGCTTGGTCACGATATACTGTAACCCGAAATCGTCTCGCATCAGCTTCTCGACCGCGCCGTCGCCGCTGGGCTGCCTTGAGTACAGGTATCCATCGTAGGAGGACCCGTTCGCGGTGAGGAGCAGCCTAAGGTGGTCCGGTCTATTGGCTCGCTGGCGGTGGAGGTCGATGAAGTAGTCGGAGGAGAGCATGGCGGACCACCCGCGGGAGACGCAGCGGAAGCGCCCCACGGACTTGGCCGGTAGCCGGGCGAGGATCTCCGTCATGACCTCGTTGGGCAGCGCCTCAGCACCGAGGTCGCTGTCCGCCGCCATGTCCTCCTGTGTTCACGCTCGATCGAGCTTGCCCAGCAGAGGAATCGGCGGCGGCGTGGTGGAGGTGGAGGGCAACACGGCTGGCGTTCCAAGAAAACGAGGAACAATTCGACGATGGAACGGGTTCTACAACCGCATCTCACCTGAGCTCCTCACCATCGTCTCAGAGGACACTGACACCGCCTATTCTCTCTGGAGCGGCGTGCCACGTGCGTTCCCTATTCCGCGACAGCAAGGCCACATGTTCGGTCTACCTTGGTGCCGAATTCCACAACTTCTATCAAGGTGATCTTCCGGTGCTCGACTACTGCTCCTACATGAAGGCGATGGTCGATCGCCTCGGTTCTCCTATCAACAAGGACCTCATCTACAACATCGTCTGCAGCTTCAGCCCAAGCCTACACCACGCCATCCCCCACATCACGCTATGCCATCGTGCCTTCCGTCGTTTCTAAAGACGTGCTCCATGCTGCAGCTCTAGGAACATCGCATCAACGAGTCAGAGAAACTCTAGGCTGTTGTGGCTCACGTCGCACAAGCCCACTCCGCTGGTGCGTCGTCGACCTTGGCTCCCTCAGGTGCCCAACTCCAGGCTGCGGCGTCCCTAGTCACACAAGCCACGCATGGCACGCCCGCAACTCACGGTGGCACCGGCAAACTCCCTTCCTCCTCATCGACCCAAGCCAGCTCCTCCAACGCAGGCCGTCCGCCAGCATCATCCTCCCACCCCCAACAAGAAGAAGAAGAAGAAGAAGGGCTTCAGCTCCAAGGGTCCACCAACCCTTCGCCGTCCCCTCGGTTCTACATTGGATTATTGCTCCCCACCCCCCCCGAGAATCAAAGGCGAAGCTCCTGGGAGTCTTGTTGGACTAGCCAGTAAGCTGGTTGTCACTTGTCAGCAAGGGAACACTGCCATCAGGCGTTAACCTCCGGGCCAGGGCGTGGGCAAGGATAGGATGGGGCATCTAATATGAGAGGATAATTTTATGGGCTGCAAAGACGGATACTAGACGAGGATCCATATGCTTTTTATATACATTGCTTTGTACATCAATTGCAATTAGTGGTTGTCTCAGTAGCACAGTGTTATAGTTTAGTATTTGATTTCTTTAACATCACCTCTTTGATTGTCAACACTGTCAATGTTTCTTGTAAGAGAAGAGATCAGTTGGACCAAAACCACCATAACAACATTGTAAATCAATTGAAAAATTGTCAAATTTTAGTGGTAGAGGGAAAAATAAAAAAACTAGCCTTGCAAGGGCAGGTGATACAAGATGGGGTTCTCATCACAAAACCTTGTGTCGCCTTTTCCATATGTGGGATTCAGTCTTAGAGGTATTAGAAAATGTTGCTGAAGATAGTGTTGGAGATAAGAGAACAACAGCTTCAGGCTTGCTGTTACAAATGGAGAATTTTGAGTTTATGTTTATATTGCATCTTAAGATCAGATTATTAGGCATAACAAATGATTTATCATAATGTTTGCAAAGAAAAGATCATAATATTGTTCAGGTTGTTGGGTTGTGAAAGGATCAAGATGTCCAAGAGGAGGGGGTTGAATTGGGCTAATTCTAAATTTCTTTGCAATAATTAAGTGATACGGTTAGCCCAATTAACCCTTTGTGCCTAGAAAGTGTTCATAATGTTCTACCGCACAAAAGTTTTGCACCCTAAGTTTCAATCCTACTCTAGTATGGTAATTCTATGAATGTAAATGACAAGAATTGAATTGCTTAAAGTAAATGCTCAAAGTAAAGAGAGAAGTAGGAATGCGGCGATGTTTTGCCGAGGTATCGGAGAGTCGCCACTCCCCACTAGTCCTCGTTGGAGCATCCGCGCAAAGGTGTAGCTCCCCCTTGATCCGCGCAAGGATCAAGTGCTCTCTACGGGTTGATTCTTCGACACTCCGTCGCGGTGAATCACCCACAACCGCTCACAACTTGAGTTGATCATCCACAAGCTCTCTGGATGATCACCAAGCTCCCAATCACCACCAAGCCATCTAGGTGATGGCGATCACCAAGAGTAACAAGCACGAACTCTCACTTGACCGCGACAAGCCTAATGAGAAGGGTGGATGCACACTTTGCTACTCTTGATCTCACTAATGAGGGTTTTCTTTGGGATTCTCAAATCTCAATCACCTCACTAGGACCTTGCTCTTCTTGGCACTCTCAAAGATGTTTCTCAACTGTTGGAATGAGCAAAAGTTACCCCTCACACGAATGAAGAAAGTATTTATAACCTTGGTTGAAAAACGAACCGTTATGTGCCTCTGCGGGGTGACCGGACGCTCCGATCAGTTCTCCCCAAATTCCAGTGATTAAGTAGTGACCGGACGCAGTACAGCGTCCGATCAGCACTGATCGGACACGTCCAGTTGCGATTTTCCCTCTCTGAAACCTTACTGGAGTCGACCGGACGCTGGCACCCAGCGTCTGGTCGCTCACCTCTCAGCGTCCGGTCGCACCAGACAAAATCACGTTGATCAAATAAGCTGACTGGACTCTGCGCCAGCGTCCGGTCACACCGAAGCTAGTGTCCGATCAGTATTTGACCCTTCATTCACTTCCATCTCTCAATCATATGTGAATGAAGTTTGCTCCATTGGATCTAAGGGCTATTTTGGAGCTACCTAGTGCTAGATTTAGCAAGTGTGCACCACACCTAACTCACTAGACTCACCTAGGTCAAGCTACCCGTCCATACCCCCCTTAATAGTACGACCAAAGGAAAAACAAAGTCCTAAACTACTCTAAGTGTCTCTTCAACACCAAACGACACTTAGAACTAGTCCATCCTTAACCTTGTCGTCCATCATTTGAAAACCGAAACGATTTTCATCATAGGGGCATGACCACTATGATTGCCCAATCGATCTCCATTACCATGACCTAACTTAATTGCCTCTGCAAAACACACGTTAGTCACAGTAATCACGTATTGTCATTAATCACCGAAACCCAACTAGGGGCCTAGATGCTTTCAATCTCCCCCTTTTTGGTGATTGATGACAATACCACCTCGAGTATGTGAAAGAGTTGAGGTTTTTAACATGCTTGGATCATATAAGCTTTTGACAATAAGAACAAAAAAGTTAGGCAAGCTTATATGACCTAAGCCAACATGATGTACTCAAAAGATATGAAATAAGCATGAGTACAATAAATAAAGCTCATTTGCATCGGAGTAAAACGCGGAAGCAAAAGCAAATGAGCATAGCACAAGTGATATGACATATAAATAATTCAAAGTAGAGAGCACTCATGTCACTTATCACATAAATATCACGATCACATTAATATCACGATTACGATCACACTTATGTAGTTCAATACATAAAAGTAAGCATGAATGCATAATGTATCACACATAAAACTCCAAATGTAATAGATAAACTCCCCCTAAATGTGTCGCTCCCCTAAGGCTAACATACTCGAACCCTCTCCCCTTTGGCGTCAAACACCAAAACCTAAGGGTCGGTCGGCGGGGCTGCAGCGGACGAGTCAGGCGCTGAGGTGCGAGGAGCGAGCTGGAACCGCGTGCCATCATCATCTGACCCTGAGCTCTGAGCAGTCTAACCCTCTATAGCTAGAAGCGACGCTGCAGCGATCTGGGTCGGATCAGGTATAGGTGCGGCCTGTGACCCTGAAGGTATGACTGTAGCAGGCGGCTCTGATGATGCAACTGACGAATGGAGCGTCTCTATAGTCCCGGTAATAGGTGCAACTGTGAAAGGACCTAGGACATGTAGATATGGCAGAGTAGGTTGCCCTGTCAACTCACTGAAGGAAGCACCAAGGCTCCTAGAACTGTAGTCTCTAGCACAAGTAGTGAAGAAGTCTGAGCCGGTGTGAAGCCCGTCTGAAAAGGTGTGAACTGTGGGGCTGGCACTGGCGAGGCAAACCACTGGGACACGTGCTCTATAGGTGAAGCAAATGGAGTAGCAGTCTGTCCCTGACTCTGAAGCCCACTAGGCTGTAAAGCTGGAGACATAGAAGTAGTGGCAGACTGGGCTATCTGGGGTGAAGGCTGTGGCGGTGGAGTCCCAATAGCTATCACAACATGCTGCATAAACCCAAGTAGCTGCTGCTGCATGAGATGCTGCTGTTGATGCATGGCCTACTACTGCTGTATAGCCTGCTACTGCTGCTGGATCTGCTGCTGCTATCGCTGAAATTCATCCTGCCTGGTCTAGAACTGTGCAAAAGTAGCGGCGGTCTCCTGTGCCTGGCGAGCCTGATCTTGTCTCATCCGCTCAAGGATAACAAGTAGAGCGGGGTCTGTCTGCGGTGCAGGTAGAGCTGAACTGGAGCTATCGGCCTCATGGTCATGTCATCGTGGAGGCATCTGAGGGATATCCCGATAGTCATCATCTGAGCTATCGCTGGGGTCGCACTCGACCATCCCCTCCTGCTGAGCATCTAAATGCTCCTCCTCTGTAGCTGCAATACCCCTGATGGTCTCATCCTGCTAGGTTGCAGTCTCTGGTACCTCTGGACGACGGCGCGGCTAGCTGGGTGTCCTCACTGCACTATGGTGGATCATCTGAGTCATGTTGTATGCAGGGAACTCTGTAGTAGTACCACTATACTCTGCCAGCATCTCAGGTGGCCTCACAATAACTGCCCTATGGATCAAGAATGTAATCCAGTGAGCATATGGCAGCTGTCTGTGACCCCTGAACCCCTCAGCAATAGTGTCCTCCATCTCTGATAGATAGAAGGAGATCCTAAATGTCAAACACTGTCTGCTGCATCAGAGAGTTTAGTAGCCATAACTGTATGCGATTCAAGCCCTCGTGATACCCCATCCTCGGAAGCAGGGTCCTCCTCATGATAGCATCAAGTACTCTAGCAGTAGGAGTGAGATCACTGGGTGTCCTGCTCGACCCCTCGTCGAAAGGCTCTGTGAAACAATGACGGACTAGATCTGTAGGGGGTACAAGACCGCCATGAGGGCGTCTGGGAGGCGCTGTCTGTCCATAGCAATCCTCA